TCCACCTACATTCTGACAGGTCTCCTGTGGCTCCTTTGATGGTTCGTCAAAGGGCACGTAGAGATTCATGGATTTTAATCCTTTATGCTAATTTTTCAGGTTATGTTTTGTGCTGGCAGAACCAAGCACTAATGTTAATGAAGTGAAACACGTCAGAGGCTGTCAGTGAACATTTGGAAATTGTATTGGCCAATGCTGTGTTTTGTGGTGAAGCTGGAAAGACAGGTCTCAAAGATCTTAACTCATAGGTAGTAGCACATCTTCGTGAGCTTCCCCTTCACTTCAGGCAGTATAACAAGACTTGTAAGGCTAGTGAGAATTGGGAGGAAGGCTGGCTTGAGCAGGGGCCGGAAGGAGGCGGTCTGGAAGCGGGAGAGCCTTCTTACAGGGTTAGAGCTGGGGCGCCATTGGGCCTGACAAACAAGAATTTCCCCTTAGACCATGGGTGCTCAAGCGGGAGGTCAGGCACAGGTGTCAGGGAATCATGACTACTCTGCCCTTCGCACAGTGCTAAATGGAGGGCTGTCCTGGCTAGATTAGTGGGGATCCGGGTATGGAAAAGGGAACCAGAGTATAGCAAAGATTGAACACCACTGCATTAGACACCAGGGCTGAAATATGTCTGCCTCTTTGAGGTTTGCAATACTCTTCTAGCAATCATGTAATTGGCTTGGCAGGGTCTTCCTGGTTGAGTATGACGTAAACCATATATAATTGTTAATAACGCAAAATTGAGATTGACATTTTTACTGGGCAAAGCCACCTCTCGATCTAGGAATCTGGGCATGATTTATTCCTTTTAATATGTTTCTTTCAAAAGGTGACGGTCCTGCTTATGGGGCTGCCTATCCATCCGTTCGCTATGTATGCTTATATTTTGCATAGCTTCCCTAGTGAAGTGCCAAAAGCATCATCATATGGGACCTTTAAAAATAGGATGAGCCAGAAATTGGGGGAATGTGCCTTAGTGAGCAGTCCTGCAGTGTCTGGGAGATGGACTGGAAGATCTAACAGGATCATTCCATCTCAAACTTCCTTGGTTTTATATATAAGATAATGTAGAATTGGGCCAGCTACATATGATCTAATCTACATTCCTGGGTTCCAAACAGAGCCACATGCTCAACGGGCTAGTATTGCTACAGACTAAGCAAGTCAGGGGATTTTATCTCTGGAGATCTGGGTCATATCAGAATTTGGAATACCAAAGTAAAGTTTGACCTAGACAGTCTCCAGTAGGTGTTTTCTTCACATGAAACCATCTGTCAAGTCATGCCTCAGCTCAGGAGAGGCCCAGGTCTGGAATAGTAGGGGTGTAGTTGGAGTTGCATAGAATTTATCCAGGTAGAAGGAATGGATAAATTCTATGCAAGCTCATCCATGCTGCCTAAAAAGAACTGGACTTGACCAAGATACCCTTTGTTTTCTTTTTCTATTATTGATTAATACCACATTATCGCTTAGCGGCGGGAAACCATGAACCAGGGCACCATGGGCTAATATCCCCATGTACTATTCCAGGCATAACAAGAAATAGTAGCTAGTAGACGCCACCATTTCCCCCCCATTTGATATTGGTCTCATTTAAGCTTTTGTGAAGGAGATGCTGAACTTGGAAATAATTCTGTTTTTCTTGGCTCCTCTGGAGGGAATGCCTAGAATTCTTTTTTTCTGATTTTCCATAGAGTTACTGTAAAAACATGTTATTTTACCTCTTGACATCCCAAGATGTTGGGCTTTGATATTTCCTGACATTTTCTTCTAATCTGTAGTCCCAGTTGGAATTGAAGCATTGCCTTTCATTGCTGATTTCTTTGCTCTTTCTTACAATTGAGAGGGGAAGGCTTCAACGTGAGATCATTGTCCAACTCCTCTTGATTTTTAAATCTGTGGGGCCCATTTTGAAAATCAGTGGGATTTATCTGGCCCCATCACCACGGTATCTGGGGCCAGGTCTACACTAAAAAGTTGGGTTGATCAAGCTACGTTGCATGGGGGGTGAAAACTCCACACCCCTGAGCAACATAGTTAAGCCGATCTAACCCCCTGGCATAGACAGTGCTTGGTTGACAGAAGAATTCTTCCATCAACCTAGCTGCTGCCACTTGGAGAGGTGGATTAACCACAGCGATGGGAGAGCCCGTTCTGTCGCTGTAGTGAGTGTTTACACTGAAGCACTACACTGGCACAGCTGTCTCTCTGCGGCTGTAGTGGTTTGAGTGTAGACATAGCCTGAAAGAATCACGGTCTTGAATGTATTTACAAGGGATGTTTGAACATTTTCTTTTGAAATTGGCTTTTGGCAGAAAATTGGGGTTTTCTGTCTGATTTCCATGGACGATTTTACTTCTTTCATTCAAGAAAAAAACCCCAACAAACAAACCCTGGAAATATTTTGGCAGAAACCCCAAATAGTGTGATTTGCATATGCTGCTGCAGTGCTTCATGGGAGTTATCGTTTGGTTTCCTCCTGTCCCAGTTCTCTTTTGTGGGCTGGGCTCCCTGGCTGGACTTCATTCTACCAGGGCTGGGGACTCTCCTGGTGCACTGCCTTCCTTTGCAATTTTTGCCAAAAATGGAAATGTTCTGTGGGGAGAGAGAACCTGCTTTCTGGCCAGCTCTTTTATTTAGCCTCAGCACCCCGCTGCGCGGAACAGCCATGTTTGTTATTGCTGTTATACAGATGGGGCCACTGAGGCACAGAGAGACTAAGTGAGCTGCCCAAGGTGTCACAGCGAGTCTGTTGAGCTGGGAAGGGAACCTGTCTCCTGAATCCTGGGCTAGCCCTGTAACCACTGGATCATTCTTCCTCCTCCCGAAACACTTATCTGCAGGATTTACCAAGACCGCACCGTGAGAGGCTTGGGAATCAAACCAGGGTAGAAACGCCTCAATTTTTTTCAGATGAAAAATACTTAAAATATGCTCTGAAGTCCTAGTACTTCCCTTCCTTCTTGCATAACTATATTCCACTATTACCATGGTTGTCATGAAAGTGGTGGGACACTACAAAGCACTGATAAGTGTTTTAGGTAATTAGATGATTAATCTTTGCTCTCTTTTCCCCCCCTGTGGTCAGGCACCTATCTGCAGATAAATAGCAGTTGAAATATTTCATTGTTTGAATAAGAGTCTTTGTGGCACAGAGCAGAAGGGCTCCTTAGTTAATTAAATCAGGGACATACAGTACTGTACTCTCCAAGGCCCAAGAAACAAAAGGGATGTATGTGTACATAATGAGTAACAAACTGTCCTTTCCACCCCTTTGAGCTCCGTTCTCGGGAGAAAGGGTCATGGGCAAGATGATGATGTATTTTCTCTTTATTGTTACCAATACCGTAGGTTACTAAAGTTGAAAGCATTTTAGACATTTATTTTTCTTTTAAACTTTTGTACTCTGTGGATTTGACTTCAGTGGACCCACTGGCATGTTTAAAGTTAAGCCCGTGGTTGGCTGGATTGGGGACACCGTGCTCAGCGTGTTGCAGGATTGAGCCCTTTGTCTGCCTGCTGCTGTTTCACACCGGTATACCTGCATCCACACTACAAGGGGTTGTGCCGCTTTAACTATAGCAGGGTAATTAAAACGGTACAACTGTCTAGTGTAGACAGGGCCTCAGGCTGGACAATGAAATGAGCTTGGTTAGTTTTAGTTTCTCATGACATGAAACTCTTTAGGGAAGGGACTGTCTTTTTGTTCAGTGTTAGTACAGCGCCTAGCGCAACGGGTCCGGGACTGAGACTCCTTGATGCCATGATAATACAAGTAATAATGTGCCTTTTTGGAAGATATGCTTTAGCCAAACACAAGTTATTGGATTCAAAGCAGGGGCAGGTGGGTGAGACGTAATGACCTGTGAGACACAGGATGTTAGACTAGAGGATCTAATGGTTCCTTAAACTCTGTGGGTCTGTTGTGCTGAAGGTTAATAACTCTCTGCAGAACTCTATTGAAACTAAGGAAAAGTAATCTTCCATTACAAACATTTTTCATCACACCAGGTTTTACTGTATAAAGCCCCTTTGCTGCCTCCCAAGCCCCGCACTTGAGAATTTTGGCCTAACCACGTGACTGTGTTGCTGTACTGTGGGGGGATGGCTGTTTAACACTTCTGCTGCTGGCCCTGCAGAGGTAGGCCTGCATCCTTTCACAGACAATCAGATATCCCCTTGAATAGCAACAGAAAGATGTAAAATGCCTGGTAAATGGGCTGCACTTGAAAAGACCTGTCCAAGTCCCTTCCAGTTCCATCATAAGCCACGGTGAAGTGATTTGACGCGATTGTGGACTGAGTGAGTGAGGCTACGACCGTAGGTCCAGAGCAAAGACCTGCCTCAGCACAGTAACCGTTAGCTTCTAGCCATATTTCTTTTGTGTGGAGGGAAGGAGAGAGGGAACGGGAATAGCTCAGGGGAAATGGTGAAAGATGACGGGGCCTTTCAGCTCTAGGTCATAGGATCAAACCCAGCCCGGATCACTTGTGCCCAAGGCTAAATGAGTTGGTGGTCTGAGTCCGTTGACTGGAGTGGACGTGTGGCTACGTGACAAGCAGCCACCCTAGCAGTTGTGGTGCCCTTTTGAGCAGTCCAAGCAGAGGGGCCCAGGACTTACTGAATAGGCCACGGAGACCATCTCAGCTAGGGTGACCAGACAGCAAGTGTGAAAAATCGGGATGGGGGTAGGGGGTAATAGGAACCTATATAAGAAAAAGCCCCAAATATCAGGACTGTCCCTATAAAATCAGGACATCTGGTCACCCTAATCTCAACCCAACATGTGTTTGAGGTTCATTGGTAAGGCAGCTCAGGGACCCTTGCACTGCTCCCCCTTACATGGTGGATAAAGAGAGCTCAGAGCTCCCCAGTGAATTCAGTCTGGCACCTGGTGTTCTTAAATGAATATCACACATAATTTTGCTGAGATGTAAAGGCAAGTGATCGTGGTCTTCTGAATATCTGATATCCGCATAACAGCTCTCTTTCTATGTTGTTTGTTGCAGGATGTGGGTCTGTTAGAGTATCAGCATCATCCCAGGGATTACACTTCCCACCTACCACCTGGATCTATTATGCAGCCGCAGCGGAGGAGGCCTTCCTTGCTGTCTGAATTCCAGCCAGGGAATGAAAGGTAAGGAGGCGGGCATTTTACCCACAGAGTCTCCCCCTGGGGTGTCTGTGTCTGAATTCCTCATTTCTTCTTGTTCGCACAGCTCTTGGAAGTTATGAGTGCTCTAAGACCTAAGCCTATTATTATGAGCTCCATGTGTTTTAATGAAGTTTATTATACTTGATGATGCAAAAGCTCTTCTGATTTTTCCAGTATAATTCAATCCCCATACTCATTCCTACATGCCAAATGTTTGGAAGAAAGGGCCTTGTGTGTCTGGGGCTGTCCTTCCCGTTTCCAGTGGATGCCACTGCTAAGTGGGAGGGCACTGGGCCTGCGGGTGTGTGCTTTTTTTGGTTCTCTGTGGGTGCTAAAGCCAGAGGAAACATCTGAGAGCCTGAGCTAGAAAATGCTAGACTAACCAGCTGTGTGTACTCTCTCTCTCTGTTCCCTGGGCCAGACTCTGAGTTCAGTTGCGCTGGTGCAAATGTGTAATTACTGATTTATGACTTGTCCCGTTTTCTTAACTCCTTTACTGTCCGCTGGGTAACTTTAAACAAGAAGGCTTCCATGAAGCTGTACATTGGCTCGATCAGCTCTGTGGGTTTCTCTGAGTGGGAAGTGAATGCAGTGTTTTTGGTTTGGGTTTTAACTCTAAAAGGCAAAAGGGAGGAGTTAGAGGAACAAGAATGGTCGGGTTCCATTGTTCACCTCCACTTCTTCTTTTGTTGCTCTCGTCCTATATTTTTTAATTTCTCCTTTCCACTTGCATCTGCCACTCATTTCATTCTTGCCAGGTCCCATTGCCTTCCCATCACGCTCGCCGATAACCCCGGGAAGAGTGGGCCAGGTGTTTCATGTGCGGCTCAGGCAAACACAGTGCGGCTAACAGTTTTGTAGATGTACTAACCACAGGAGCTAACCAGTTACAAAGGCCGGCGCTCTTGGTGTCATTGCAAAACACCACGCTCTCCATGTTACAGTTTCTCTTCTGCATTTGACACCGAGTGGTCTTGGAAGAAGTAGCCTGGAAGTGAAATACATACCATAGAACAGTAGATTTATGCAAAACAGTGTTTGAGTCTTGCTACTGGGTATAGCTTAGTGCGGTCCTGAATCACTGAGCCCTCAGTTATGGCTGGATCAGAAATACATTTCTGCGTTTCCAAAATCATAATAGTTAGAGATAGGGAAAGATACTGTGACAGGGTCAGGCCAGATGGCTACAGAAGAGTGATAGAAGGCATATATATTAGTCCCAGATTAAGTAGATCCCTTTTCCCTGGGTAAGGTAACAGGGGCAGTTCCAGAACAAGCAGGAATTTGCTGGAACCAGTTAAGGCAGGCAGGCTAATTAGGACACCTGGAGCCAATTAAGAAGAAGCTGCTAGAATCAATTAGGAC